CCTGAAGGAGTCCCAATATGAGGGAAGGGAGTCTCAGGACCAGAGAAAGGTTGTTGAATGATATTTATCTGGAGTGAATCTGATCTGTTTGGGTGGGTCCAATTCGGCTCCCTGGAACATACAAGAATCCTTTGAGTTTCTGAAAACATAAATTTTAGACACGTTAGGATTTCCATTGTTACTGATCTGTACTGAAATTTGCATTGTAGAATTGCCAGTGTATTCAAGTCAGAAATGATTTGGCTGAAAGCATTAACACTTAAAACTGACAGATTTTTTTTTTTTTTTTGGTTTTTTTCGAGACAGGGTTTCTCTGTGGCTTTGGAGACTGTCCTGGAACTAGCTCTTGTAGACCAGGCTGTTCTCGAACTCACAGAGATCCGCCTGCCTCTGCCTCCCGAGTGCTGGGATTAAAGGCGTGCGCTACCAACGCCCGGCAAAACTGACAGATTCTTTAGCACAATGAAAAGCACCTCAATTTTGACCTTGCAGTTATCGTATAGTGGAATAGTTTAGTGTTTTGTCAGAGTTGGACTAGTAGCTTATCAGAACTTTATTAATCAATGTTAAGACTATGAACAGTAGCATAACAAGAGAGAGAAAAATCTGGAACATGTTTCATTCTTTTGAAAGTTTCAAGTCACTTTTTTAAATCATCACTTAATCCTTTTTATCCTCAGACCTTCATAACTTGCATTCATATATCTTATGTTACCATCTTAGACCTTCATAACTGGCATTTATCCACAGACCTTCATATATCTTACACTTTCTTATCTTCACATAGATAAACCCTAAAAACACCTGTTCCTGAAATCTGTTTTGTGACAGTTGTTGCTTTGGTTGTTGCTTTAAGCTGGCAAAGCTACAAGTGGTCAAAAGCGTCAGAGTTTTTTTGGGGGGGGGGCAGTGTTGAGACAGGGTTTCTCTGTGGCTTTGCAGGCTGTCCTGGAACTAGCTCTTGTAGACCAGGCTGGTCTCCAACTCACAGAGATCCACCTGCCTCTGCCTCCCAAGTGCTGGGATTAAAGGCAAGCGCCACCACCGCCTGGCTGCATCAGAGTTCTTGAGAAGGATAAAATCCTACCTGAGTTAATGATTAGAGAATGACAGAGACTTGCTAGCTGGCCGTCATAGACAACCATCCCCAGAGTCCTCCAAAGTTGTTGAGGGCAGAGGCTTTAAGGACACGTGCCTTCTGCTGATAGTGTGAGACATGTGGATTTGGAACTGTAGGAAGACTTGCCTACCGTTGGCCCAGGCATCATGGAGAGAGTCATTTCCACTGTCCTCTTCTCCACAGTCGGAAGTGCCTTGAGCAGCCCAGGTCACCTGATTGATGCTGGGGAGACCCTTTGATGTTCTCATAGGGACACTGAGAGGTAGAGAAAGACAATGCACTCACTGACCACTGTGCTGCCACCCTGTTCCCATGCTGCTAACCTCCCAATGTCCGCATCTCACATCAGTTTCAGTGCTGCACGGGGGTGGGTGGGGTGTATGGTTCTGAACTCAGGTTGAGTGGGGAAGGAAAGAGATGGGGTGAAGTCGCAGTTCTTTCTCCTGCAAGGGTCAGCGGGCAGCAGGAAGAAAGAAAGGGATGGTGAGGTGAACCCTGGGACATTCCGCTCCTGGACCCTAGGACCAGCCTGCCAGCTGATTGGCCCAACATGATCTAATCAGATCCTCCCCTGAATGATGGAAGAGTAGCCCAGAGTCTTTGTATACTTTTAAGTTGGGGCCAGAGGCTGTGAGCTAGTACCTGTCATCTCAGCACAAAGGAGGAGGTTAGCCTGGGATAGAGACTGTTTCACAAACAAAGACTCCAGGAAATGGTGGTACATGCCTTTAATCCCATCTCTGAGAGCTCAAGGCCATCCTGGTCTACAGAGTGAATTCCTGGACAGCCAGGGCTACACAGAGCAGCTCAGAAAGATTTGTTTTTCTTCCCTTTGCCTCCTCTTCATTGGGTAGTTTTGTTTTCATTGGTTTGGATTACTATTTTGAGACACAGTCTCACTGTGTAACCCACAGTGGCCTGGGACCCTCTCTGTAGTACTGAGTTGACAATCCCCGTGGATGCTGGGTTAATAGGTGGTACCCTGTCATGCTCAGTGGATGTTGAAATATTTGTACATTATATTATTACTATTATTATTGTTTTGGTTTTTTGAGACAGGGTTTCTCTGTGTAGCTTTGGAGGCTGTCCTGGAACTCGCTCGGTAGAACAGGCTGGTCTCGAACTCACAGAGATCCATCTGCCTCTGCCTCCCCAGTGCTGGGACTAAAGGCGTGCGCCACCACACAGCTAAGAAATTTTTTCTTAAAGACAGAATCTCATGCAGTCCATGCTGACCTCAAACCCCCGTATGTAGCAAAGGATGATCTAGAACTCTATGTAACTCCTGACCTATGTTATCAGGTAGGGGTGAGGTGGCCACTACCCAATTGAGCCCCAGCCCAGGTTTGAGGTTGTGATGTCTGCAATGAGAAAGTCTCAGCAGAACAGGTGACTGAGTCACATGCTGTGCGGTACCAGCAGCCCTCCCTCAGCAGTCACAGGAGGCAGGAAGGTGGAGGACGCCAAGCAAGTGACAGCTGCCCACATCCTGCACTGGTATTCACAGAGGCCCCAGTTCCGTACAGCTTCCTCACCTGGAGTGGCAGTGTGCCCAGTCTGGCCCACCAAGCCTGGTAGTTTCCCTCTGAGGGGATAGGACAGTCTGGGTCATCAAGCAGGAACACGCCTTGGAAGACATACACTGTTGTTTTCTTGACATTGCTCCAGGGACTAGAGTCCAGGCTAACCCCTGGGAAGGTGTGCAGTGGGGGCAGGAGGGGCTGCCCTGCCAGAGTTCACCTTGTCTTAGGATGTGCCTGTAGGTGGCTTTTGGGAAGTTTCTGGACCTCAGATTCATCTGTAAAAAGCTGAGTTGGAATGAGCTGTCCATGTGGTTTCCTCTTTTTTTTTTTGTTTTTGTTTTGTTTTGTTTTTGTTTGGGTTTTCGAGACAGGGTTTCTCTGTGTAGCTTTGGAGGCTGTCCTGGCACTTGCTCTGGAGACCAGGCTGGCCTCGAACTCACAGAGATCCGCCTGCCTCTGCCTCCCGAGTGCTGGGACCCAAGGCGTGTGCCACCACCACCTGGCTGCGGTTTCCTATTGATGCCACTTTTTTTTTTTTTAAATGCCTGTCAGGAGTGTGCCATGCATTATTGATGCCACTTAAGTAATTGTTTTGCTGTATGTCTAGGAAGAGGGAGGCCATCACTGACTAGTGATGCCTGTTCTGTGCTAAGGGAAGAGAGCATCATTAACTGACTTATTGATGCCTGACTTCTGCACATTGGCTGGCAGATTGATTGCTAATGTCTGTTCTGTGCAAAGCTTGGAAGAAACCATCCATGCATCAATTGGTGGTTGGTGAAGTTTGCGTGGAAGGGAAGAGGCAGTATAGTTTTATCTATTTACCACCCTCAGAAATGGTGGACCCTGGCAGGGCAGCCCCTCCTGCCTCCAGATTCAGACAATTGTGATTCCATGGTTTTCCTTTATTTCCCCATTTTAAAGCAGTCCAGAGCTTTCTGAAGATTAGAGGCACAGTCCTAAACAAGTACTCTGGGAAGAAGGGTCCAAGTTAGCAGTCAGTGGTAGAATCCCTTCCTGGCTTCAGAGGTGAGTATGTTATGTACTTTGTCCCCAGTGTCCCCTCCAGCCAACAGGAAAGGTAAACATGACCCCAGGAAGTAGAAGTGAGAAGGAGGAACTGATAAAGAGCAGCTTTAGCAGCTTAGTGACAGCAGTGGACACGCCTGTGATCCCAGCACTAGGTGGAGGCAAGAGGATCAGGAGTTCAGGGTTATGAGAAGTCAAGAGTGCACCCCCCCCCCCACCCCCGTGTGTGAAGGCAGAATGGCACCATAACTGTAGAGTGTCCCCTGGTGTTTGAAGGCAGAATGACACCATAACTGTAGAAGACAAGAGTGGATCATGTTGACTTTATAAGTATGGGGTCACTGTCCCTACTCCTGTAAGAACTGTCACTCCTATGTGTGTATAGATACAAGCTTACAGGAAACGCTACAATCAGCTGGTGCCCTGTAGTAAGTCCCCCATATACAGGGCTGGAACACAAGCTTGTTTCCATTCTGTGGGACAGAACTCTTGAGGTCAAGGCACAGGGAGGTCTGGCCCCACTGTGGCCACTTTGTAGGGAGCCCAGCCCTGCCCACTCACAGTGACATGACAGTCAGTGTCCTTGGCCTGTAGACATACCACCCCATCTCTCCCTCCATGGCCCTTCCCACGGCAGGCATCTGTGCTTGGATCTCTACGTTTGTTTTTGGGTTTCTCTATCCCGGGCTGGCCTCCATCCACCTGCCTCTGCCTCCTGAGTGCTGGAAAGGCGAGCACCACCATTCAATGAATATCCACATTTTAAAGACACCAGTGTGTCTGGGAGCTACCCTAAACCAGGCTCACTGAAGTCCCTGCCAAGATCCCATTTCATGGGTGCTACTGAGAAGGGCCTCAGCATTGGGATGGACAGCAAAGACACAAGTGGACCGTGCTGGTCTACTCTAGAGCATGTCTTCTCATGATGCTTCCTTTTCACAGCTCTGGGCTCCTGGCCATCTTCTCTAAAGCCGTTTTGAGACAAATTCCCATGTAGCCCCAGATAACCCTCTTATTTTTGAGAGTGTGTCTCACCATGTAGGCTTAGCCAGCATGGAACCCAGAGATCCACCTACCTCTGCTCAGAACCCAGGTCAACAGCAGGCCATGATGGTGCTTGGCTGTCACCCCAGCCCTGGGCAGACAGAGGAAGGATTCCTGGAGCTCACAGGCCACCCAGCCTAGCTAGCCTGTGAGCTCCTCTATCAATGGGAGAATGTCTTAACACACAGTGGATGGCAATCTCTAGGCTCTACACATGCACATGGATGTGCACACAGGTGTGCATACACACAGCATATGCATTCCCACACCACAAATACAGGCCCTGCTGCAGAAAAAGAATTTATTTCCAGAATATTCTCACATTACAAAACCAACTATGGCATGTGGGTGCACATACCCACGGGTGGGCAGGGTGGAGCTGTAGGAGCTTGAGGGCATGTCCCCTATTGGGGGCACTGGGCTCCATCCCCACGATCATCTGAGATGATCAAGTTGCCTGCCTGCAACTCTATCCTAGACCCTCTGGGCATCCTGGGGCACAGAACAGAGGTAAAGTGCCTAAGCAGTTTGGCGGGACACCAGCAGAGGAGGGGCATGATCTTGTGGGGAGGCCTGGAGACTGCAGTGACTTAGCAAGTGGCATCAGTGGGTCACAGGAAGAATGCAGAGTCCAATGTTATCAGGGTACAATGACATTTCAAGATTCAGTTTGGATCTCCTGGCGAGGCCACAGCTGCCCCAGGAAGGCAGAACGGTGAGGGGAAGCAGGGTTCTCGCTAAGGCACAGATCTGTTCCTGGCTCTGCTCCCAGCAGATCAGGGGCCACCGGGCCTGGCTAGTCTCTGTGGCAGGGTGTGGGCTGCCATGCAGCTGAGCCTGTCTTTCTCCTCCCACAGAAAGAGGAGGAGCCTCCTGGAGCCAGATTTCTGGATGGTGGTGGGGACAGCAGACTGCCACTGCCACTAGGGACAGGACAAGGAAGCTGTAGGATCCTGTCACCGGAGGAGCACAGGGGAGGCCTGGATGGTAGAGCTGATGAGGCTCCTGTGTTCATCCACAAGTTCCCTGGGGTCCAACACTTGTCTCAGCAACGCAAAAGACAGGAGCTGGTGCTTGAGGCCACTCCTTGAACAAGCTGGGAGTGGGGCAGTCACATAGCCTGGCTCTGGTAGGATGGCAGTGCAGGGGGAATTCATTCCGCCAATAGTTTGGCTTTGTTGTGCAGACGTGATCCCTTCTAAGGAAGAGGAGGGGGTCTCTCTCTCTCTGGTCTGAGACCCTGAGAGTAGCACCTTGCACCTCCAGGGCAGAAGACTGTGGTGGCTCTTTACCCTCATTGTGTGTGTTCCCCAAATAAATATTTGATAATCTTTTATCCGGGTGTTTGTGAGCTTCCTTACTCCACCCACAGGGCAGTGCTTGCTGAGGGCTCAGGCAGGAGATGAACACAGGCCGAGGACCTCCTAGGACCTCAGGGAGAAGCATGGGCTTCAGGACCAAGGGTGGTGGCAGGAGACAGAGCCATGTTATTGAGGCCAGCCAGATGCCTAAGGCCACTGGCCTCCACTGGGATAGCTGGGGACAGTGGGGTACTCGGGTAGGTTATTCCCAGAGAAGCTGTTAAACTGGACTTCCCTTGATGGGGGATTCTTCCAGGTACCAGTGTTCCATTCTGTCTGTGCCTTCTGGAAGCTTCCCCCAGCCCCAAGGTAAATCCTATGCACCTGAAGGATCAGGGGACAAGAACAGAGAGCAGGAGATCAGGACACTGGCAGGAACAGAGACCCACTGTGAACCCTCAGGTGACAGTGCCCTGGGTGCTTCATCTCCACTCTGCTGTCCCCACAGCCCATAGGAAACCCCAACAAACAGCTTCTTCAGGGCCAAATGTGCCACCTACTGTGGCATCTCACTCTCACTAGTGTGTGACCTTTGACCATCTTTTTTAGGATCCTGAGGAAGAAAAGGGTGATAATGCAGAGAAAGATAGTGTATACCCCTCATCTCAACACTCAGGAAGCTCAGGTAGGAGGATCAGGAGTTTAAAGCTAGCCTCTGCTATATGAGGCTTAAAAACAAACAAACAAACAAAAACAAAAACAAACCAATGGCGGGGGCGCACAACTTTAATCATAGCATTCAGGAAGTCAGAGGCAGGCAATCTCTGAGTTCAAGGCCAGCCTCATGTACAAAGCTTCAAAGCTATACAAGTCCTGTATCGAAAAAAAAAAAATATATCCTAGTGTGTGATATTCAAACAAAATCCTGCAGAGGTCCTTTTTCTCAGGGTATCCCTGGCACTTGGGGAGTATGACCCTGTGTGCCCCAGACAGGGCTCACTTGGGCCTCCTGGATTATGTCTGTCAACACTCCTAAGAACCTCAGGGTTCCTGTAGATAACATGCAGCTCTGTGGATGTGGGCTGCCCACTCTTAGACACATGTCAAATGGAAAAGTAGCTCTAGACTGGGCAGGGCATTGGCCTGGCACTCACAAAGTCCTGGGTTCATTCTCTATGAAACAAAAAGGCCTTTTAAGAGGTTTCTGTTGGGGCTGGAGAGATGGCTCAGAGGTTAAGAGCACAACTGCTCTTCTGTAGGTCCTGAGTTCAATTCCCAGCAACCACATGGTGGCTCACAACCATCAGTTATGAGACCTGGTGCCCTCTTCTGGTGTGCAGATGTACATGGAAGCAGAATGTTGTATACGTAATAAATAAATAAAATATTAAAAAAAAAAAAAGAGGTTTCTGTTGCTCCCCCAGGTGGCTCTTCCCCCTACACAGCCATCTTTGGGGCTCCCCCAGGCAGAGCTGCCCCTGTGGGGTACTTGGCCTGAGGCTCCTGCCCTCTCCAGCAGGCCCTCTCCCAAGAGCCTAAACTGCTGGTCTCAGTGACATTTGTGACACTCAGTCCTTGCCCTCCACCAGTATCTGAGGTATGCAGAGCAGAGGCTCAGCATCTAAGCAGAGGTTCATGTGTCCTTCCCAAACCCTGTCCAGGTAAACCACAGTCTTCAGCTGAAGAGATGGAGTGTTGTCTGTGATTGACGTGAAAAAAAAAAAAAGACATTTAGGATGGCGACAAAGACCAGTGGACTCACCTTCACAAGTGTGATGGCCAGCATGACAGCAGACAAGGAAAACATGATGGCTGGGATCAGCATGACCACAGCAGCCCCAACATTGACCCCAAAGAATCCAACAGCTGCCATCCAGCCACTGCAGAGTAAAAGGGATGGGAGACAAGGAGTGAAAAGGGCTCAGCATACCACAGAAGTGCCTGCCTGCTGTCCTTCATATGCAAAGAGCTCTGACAAATCAATAGGGAATTAGGCCTGATCGATCTCCTTTATATACAGAGCTCCAACAGATCATCAAGAAAAAGATAACTTTAAAGGAGCCAGGTTCAGTTAAGGACCAAAAGGTGACTGATCAATATAAAATGATGGTCACGACAAACTTAAGTTTCAGTTCACAAAACCAAATACAAAACAAAAAAACAAAAACCACATTTCAAGAAAGTATTAAGGTAAGGCCTGGCTGACTCCTACAGGTCATTATAGCATCTTTCATTCTCCATACTATCTTTAAATGAACCAAAACTCAAGAGACTAAGTAAGTGGGATTTAGTGGGACACACCAGGCTCTCTGAGTAGTCCATCCATCCTGAGAATACCACCTGCCAGTCTGAGTCAGGTGCTAGTGGCATGGCTGGGTGACAGCCCACTCAAAGTTTACAGACTCCAGCTACCAGGGAGGTAGTAGGAGGGCGTGGTCCTATGGACTTTGACTAGGACACAAAAGAAATGGAGGCCCACACCACATCAACTGAGCAGGGCTCATAGGGGCTGTAAGGGACTGACCCAGGCCCTCTGCATATACCTTACGGTTGTGCAGCTTGGTGTTCTTGTGAGACTCCCCATAGGGGGTGTGGGGGCTGCTCTGACTCTGTTGTCTGTACTTGGGAACCTTGTCCCCCTTCTGGGTTGCCTTGTCCAGCTGTGACATGAGGGTTTGTGGCTAGTCTTTTCTGGAGGTTGGGGGAAGGAGAGAGACAGGGTTCCTCTGTATAACAGTTCTGTCTGTGCTGGAACTTGACTGGCCTCCAACTCCGCCTCCCAAGTGCTGGGGTTAAAGGTGTGTGCCACCACACCCAGCTGTTTCTACCTAGTCTTACTGTAACTTGAAATTCCCTTTGGTTGCTAGCCCTGGTATGCCTGCTCTTTCTTTCTTGAAGGGAAATGGAGGAGGAATGAGTAGATCTGGAGCGGAGGGTGGGAAACCTGATTGTAATGTATGAGGAAGAAAACAATGGAGGCCCTAGCACTGTGCACACGCCTCTATCCCAGAACCCAAGTTCCAGCCCAGTCAAGGCTACAGAGTGAGACCCTCAAAAAAAGAGATGGAGGAAGGACCTAAACATGGGAACGGAAAGTGACTGTTCAAGGCAGGCTTGGGCAGCAAGGCAGGGTGCCCTTCTAGAAGAAAGGCAGTACGGTGGGGTGGCAGGCTGCAGGAAGCCTGCAGCGAGGTCTTCATCTGTCCCTACAGTGAGGAACTAGCCAGCACCGTGCCACGCTGGTGGACTCGCACACGCACACACACGCGCCTGCTGCTGTTGCTTACCATACTCCCCAGCCTGAGAAACTGATGGACTGGATGACCGTCACGACGAACTGTGCCCCGAAGATGAAGAAGAATGTCATGAAGTTAAAGGAGCTGTCAGCCCTGCAAGGCACACAGTGAGTGGGGAGGGTGGGCGTCAAGTTTCCCTTGTTCTTGACGGACTTATTGACCAAAATTACTAATTCCCTCCCTCCACTGAGCACTTAGCCTGGGCGTTGACCACACAGGGACTGTGTGGGGAGACTTGAAGTCATGGAGTTGATAAAGCCCAGATACCCCAAGGGCAAAGGGACAACCATCAGGCTGCTTGTGGGAGTGTGAGGTGGGATGGCCCCTGCTCTGGTGGCTTGGTTGAGCAGGCACCAGTCGTCTATGTGGAGCCCTCCTGGCCTACCCTACCCTCAGTCTAGCTCAGACACACTTGCCCAAGAAAGGATGAGCCAGCTGAGGACAGACAGCTGAAGATGAATGATGGACACACGGCAGCAGGGACCATCTATTGGAGTATTACGAGGCCATGAACAGGAGCAAGGCTCTGACATAGACCATAGGGAGGGACTTGTGCTCAGAGAGACAAATAGAGAAGGCCACACAAGTGTGTGACTCCATAATAGAAAATGTCTACAATACACACATCTAGAGGCAGGAAGTGGATTTGTGGAGGCTGGAGTGGGAAACTTGTGGAGAATGGTTTCCTTTTGTGTGATGGAATCTTCTAGAAGCAAGCACTATCAATGACTAAACCACTGCACTACAACACCGAAGTAGGTACACTGTGGTCAGGAAACCATAGTGCAGGAGACGTCATTAAAACTCAGCACAGGCCAGGCGGTGGTGGCGCAAGCCTTTAATCTCTGCACTCGGGAGGCAGAGGCAGGCGGATCTCTGTAAGTTCGAGACCAGCCTGGTCTACAAGAGTGAGTTTCAGGACAGGCTCCAAAGCCACAGAGAAACCCTGTCTCGAAAAACAAAAACAAAAAAACTCAGCACAGAGTAAGGACAACAATGATGGCTCAGTGAGCGCCCTCAAAACAGGAGGTACAGGCTTGCAACCCAGGGAGGCTGGGCAGGGGCACTGTGACCAGACCCTACAGTGAGACTCTGCCTCAGAGCACCAAGGGGGACATAGCTTGGCTAGCACTGCTTGCCTGGTGTCTCATGTCCTGGCCTCTGTGGCCACCAGGCCCAGCAACCTTGAGACACCAGCTGTCTGTGGCTTGTGGTCACAGATTGCTGACTACACTAGACAAGTGGAGGAAGCCCATCCTGGACAGGCCGATCCCAGCTCCCCAGAGAGCACAAAGCACAGCCTCCATGGGTCCCGAAGCTTGCAGTGAGCCAGAGGCTTTGTGGCCTGACGGCCCCTGGGCCAGGCTTACCGGAAGGCCTTATACGAAGGCAGGAACCAGCACACATAACTGCAGGGAGTGAAGAGAAGCAGCCAGAGCATAGCCAGGCCGAAGTTGGCCTGTGTTCCACCTGCAATCCATCAGGCCAGGCAGGCCACCAGGTTCACACCCAGAGTGGCACAGTAAACTGGAAGGGGACACAGGTGGGAGAAGAGTAGGGTAAATCACCAAGGACTGCAACAGGCCCAGGGGCCCTCGCTAGCAGTGCATTAAGGATGAGCCTCATGTCGGGACCAGGGCTGGGCCACACTGCACTGCCCTCAGTGGGGACCCCCAGAGGCTCACACATCCACAGCTGGTAGATCCTCTTCACCAGCATCTGGTGCTCCACAGGGATCTCATCGGAGAAGTCCTGGTAGAAGCAGGGCTTCAGTGGCACGAAGCGTGGCAGGGGCGGAAAGTTATTCTCCTTTCCTACAGGAGGGAGACCACCCAGGCAGCCTGTTGCGGCCAGAAGCCAGCAGGAGCACCCTCCCTATACCTTAGCCCCTTCCTGAGCCACCAAAACTGGATAGGACACAGACTCTCGAAGGATCAGCCAGAGTCACACCCCAGAGTGTTAAGCGAAGCTACTAAGGAGTGGCCACATTGAGGGCACAGGCCCTAGGGCCGGCACCCAGTGTCTTGGGGTTGTCAGGCCCAGGCCAAGGAGGGCAAAGAAAGGCGGGGCAGCCAAAGCCCTCATCAGCTGCAGTGTACGCGGCACACATCCCCAAACTGTCTCATTTCAAACTCTCCATCTTCAAACTGGAAGATGCTGGTGGCTCTTTGGTGACCTGTGTATGCCCTGCTGTGGCAAACAAGGTCACAGGGCAAAAGCTGGGGAAGCCCAGGCCAGCTCTGCAACCATAGCTCAGGACTGCAGGGCTTGGGTGGGATTTGGGGACACTGCATGGGGAACAGGGTAAACTCACCTGCCATTTCTGTACTGGCTGACCTGCCACCCAAGCACAAGGGGCCACCTGAAAGGAGACTAGAATCAGAGCCTCTGTGGCCAACAGGCCCAGGAAGATCCTAACCCAGGCCACTGCTGCATGCTTTGCTGCTGGCTTGGTGGGTGTTGGGCCTGGGTGTGAGGCCACCTCACGTCCTCCCAACACTGTGACCCCACAGATGACTCCAAGTGCTGCAGACACACACCCCGGCTCCCATTCCCCTCAATCACCCAGAGAGAGAGTTCCCTGTCATGTGACAGCCACATGGTCACACCAGCTCTGGGTATGGAACTCACCTATAGGAGCCAGTAAGGACCCTGGCATAGCCCCAGAGGCACCTAACAGTCACTTTTCAGAGTAGCTCTGTCCCTAAGTGCCACCTTCAGGACATGGCTGGGTAAGTCCCCCATAGGGTTTTGGTGAGAAAGTTGCAAGTACACCCTGGTCTCCAAGTCCAGGCTCCACTCAGCCAGGTGCCACTAGATGGACATAGTCCCACAGAGTCTAATGATGGGCCACCTCACAACCCTGCCCCACCCTACTGGCTGCTCACCCGAGAAGTGAGGCCACAGAAACGTGTCTTCCAGGAAGGGCCCTGGCTTCCCTTAGAGGATAAAGGATGGAAGGACTATGTGAAGATGCAGGCAGGAACCCAAGCTCCACCCATGCTCTAGGCCGGGCCACACTCCTTTGTCCACATCTGCCTGGCCTCTCTGTGGACTGTCTGTCCAGCTGGGGCTTGGCCTCTTCTGCCTGAGGTTGGCAGGTGCATAGCAGCCCTGTCATCACTGGCAAAGCCCCATGTCCCCTTGGCCTGCAATGGCCCCCAGTTTCCTCAGGGTAGCTTGGTTCAGAAGCACTGTGCCAGGCAACAGGCGTGTCAGAAGTGCTAGCACCCTGCTGGGAGGCCTAGCACCCTACTGTACTCAGACTGACCCACCTCCCCAGGAGAGAGGGATACAGAATGGCCACAAACAGCCTGTGGGTGAAATGATCTCAGACTAACAGCTGTCCAGACATACTTGGAACCTTCCAGATTTCAGAGACAGGCAAGGGTGCCTCCTGCCTGGGCTGTTTCTGCCCCTAGAAACACCCAAAGTTGGCCGCATTCAGCAGGGCTGCTGCCCTCTGCTTCACAAACCACACAGCCTGACTCAGACACCACCCCAGCTGGGCACCTCGGTGCAAACGGGAACTCAGTTTGAGGCGTTTTATTTTCACACACGATGGCTGCTCCCTGCTGGAGCCTGGAGGACTATGGGGACTGTAAGTCAGCCATTGGGCTTGTAAGCAGGGTTGAGCCTCAGGGCTGGTCACTGCAGCCAGCAAAGAGGCCACTGTCTCAGGGCTGAGAGGCCTCACACGCTGACACAGGTGGTCAGTGTCCTTAGACAGACAGAGGGTGTGACCCCAGGGGCCCAAGGCCATGGAGCTGCAGGGATGAGGGCTGGCCAGGAGCAGAGCAGTCCGGAAGCAGAAGTGACTAGGCCTAAGGGTCGGGATCCAGCTGGCGGCACTGGTCCTCAAGGATGCCACGAAACACCTGGAAGCGGTGGTTGAGGTCTGGCCGTGCATGGACACGAAAGCGCGTACCCAGGGCGCCATCAGGAGAGGACGCCCCATAGAAGACACGCTGGATGCGGGCGTGGACGAGGGCCATGGCACACATGACACAGGGCTCACGAGTGATGTACAGGTCATAGCCGGTGCACACGTACGGCATGCCATCATCGTCCTCGTCCAGCTTGCGCACGCTGCCAGCACGTGCACCCTGGGGGGTGGTGGCCAGGGTGAAGGAGCAAGTCGGGTGCCGTCTGAGGTCGCAGGTGCCACGGCCCTGCCCCTGGGCCACCAGGTCGATGCATACCATGACTGCGTGCAGCAGGGGGCTGGCCACATCGCTGCAGTCATGGCCAGTGGCCAGCACGCTATCCGAAGCTGGGTCTACCACTACAGCACCCACCGCCCGCAGACCCTGGCCAGCTGCCCTCTGGGCGGCACGCACTGCCCGTTCCATATGGCTCTGCATGGCTGCTCGCGCCTGTGCAGAGAAGAGCTGCCCAGCCAGTGCGCTGGTCACCTGCTTGTCCTCGTGGAAGGACGTGGGCCAGTGGGCCCGCGCCTCCTCAAATTGGCTCCGGGTGAGGGGCGGCCGGGCGGGCACGGGCACCAGGAAAGGTGTGCCCAGGCCACGGGGGTCCACAGCCGGCCTAGGGAGGAGCTCAGCCAGCGAGCGTGGGCCCGCAGAGGGCCCTGCCAGGCACAGCAGAAGATCCGATGCGTGGGCGCCGCCGGCACTGCGACTGGGGCGCACCCGCTTGAGGTGGGGCTGGGCTGGAAGCGGGTAGATGGCAGACACCTCCCGGAGGAGGCGGGACGTCTGGCGCTTGTCCAGGACTGGCGCAGCGTAGGCCAGCACCAACTCCACGGCCCCCGATTGCTGCTCCGACAGGACAGGGAGGGCTTGCCATTGAGCCGTCTCTTGCTCCTCACTTCCAGCCTTCTCAGGCTCAGGCTGCTCTGCGGGGCCCGAGGCAGGCTCCATCCTTAGCGGGGTTCGACTGTGGGAGACAGAGATGGGACTGGAGCGTGATCCCTCAGCTTCAGTGGGTCAGGGGGTCTGTCCTGGGATTCCGTGGGACCCGCCAGGCCCAAGAATAAGGAGTCCAGAGTGCCAGGTAGAGTCGGCTGACTCCCGGACTGCACAAGACAGAAAACTGTGCCGGGCTCTTCAGGGCTCTGACAGTCCACGTGCACGCGACAGACGCCATGTTGTGGGTAGTGTGGAGACAGGCATTCATTACTATCAAATTCTGAACCCATCCCAGCAGCCCTTGCCCTGTTAAACCAGGTCATTGTTATCCCAGGAGGTGTAGGCCAGGGGAGCAGGAGTTCATGGTGACTTTGAGGTCACCTTGGGCTACATAAAACCTTGTCATTGGTGGCACATGTCTGTAATCCCAGCACTAGGGAGCAAGACCGATCTCTGAGTTTCAGGCCATCCTGGTGTAAAGAGTGAGTTCCAGGACAGCCAGGACTACACAGACAAACCTTGTGTTGGAAAACCAAAAACCAAAAAAAAACCTTATCCCTAACAAAAAACCCATGAAAGCCAAAACCCAGTGCTTGGCCCCTAAACAAGCCCATGGTCACCCACCCATAGACAACTGCTTCTCTATCTGTACCTCCAGAGGTCACAGGTCTGGTATAGGCTGCTGACAGACTCTGGCTGACTTCAAACCCCAGGTCTAATGAAGAGAAACAGAAATCTGCCTGCAATCTGCAGAGTGGATCTGCCTTGTCCAGTCCACATGAGAAGAGCCCCATGGGGCCCTCAAAGTCAGCCAGGTGAGACCTTTGGAGGGTGTGGCCACAGCACAGATAGTTCCTGGCTATGGCCACAGGGCTGATGGACAGTATCATTCCAAGCTGCTCAATGTTCCATTTTCTACAGAGTAAATGGGGTGGTGGTGGAGTGCAGGACCCCCCCCAAAAGTATAAACCTCATACTCACAATACACCTGACCCCAGGTGGCTTCTATGGGACATGCTCACCTTGGTCTACCGAAGGGTCACAGAAGACCAGAGCCAGACATATACCCAGTGGCACACACTTATGCCAGCACTTGTGGGACACAGGCAGGAGAATAGCTGTAAACTGGAGCCAGCCAGCCAGAACTGCATGGCAATACCCCCACCTCAACCATCTGTACCCCCAGAAAAAGGCACCAGGTCTAAGATGTACCCCAAGAATACAGACCCTGCCAAACAAGGCAGGCATGTGGCCATGGCCCATCCCACTGTGAACTTGTACTCCAGGGTATGGCCTGCCTGCTGCAGTGGGCTAACCTAAGAACCTGCCTGTCAATGGCACCTGAGCTTTGCTGTCCCAGCATTCAATGAAGCCTGAGCTGACAGCCAACACCATTGCTACCCTATGACACACAGGAGAAAAGCCAGGCTCTGAGAGGCACCCAGTGAGGGCTAGGCTGTGGGAAAGGGATACTCTCAGCCCTCAAACACTGCTTCTCATTGCTCTGGGGTCACAGCTAGCCAGGGCAAGATGGCAGGTGCCAGACCTGAGGACAGCAGCCCCACAGCAGGCTTCACACACAGACCACCTGCCACCCGGTTCTTTGCTACTGAACCTAGTCACCATCTTTACATCCTCAAGTCACCAACTAGGCTGGACTGCCACTTCCCTGCCCCACTGTGCCAGGCAGGCTAACTGCAACCTATAGGCAATGATTAGGTTCACACATTCTTCACAAGGGCTCAGAACAATCATCAGAGCACTGCCTGGAACTCGCCAGGGAGGAGGCTCATGGTGTGGTTCAATGATGGCAGGAACTTGCCTGCCATGCTCAAACCCGGGAGTTACAAACAAAGCAACAAACAAACAAACCAGGAAGGAAGGAAGAAAGGAAGGAAGGAAGACCATGCAAGGTGGTTTGCAGGGCTGCCTGTAGTAGGCTTTTCCGCACTATCCAACATTACACCCCATGTCCTGCCACCCCTGCTGGTGTGCACTTGGCTATGGGAATAATCTATGTGATGGACTAATGTGCACCTATTAGCTTTCACAGCTTACCCGGGCTGCCCAGGTCAACATTGGAACTATTGGCTAATGACAACTACACGTGCCCCTAGGAGCCCTAACACTAGGAAGGTGCCAGGCATGTCTGAGAGCCTGTTGTCACCATGGCTGCCCTTGCACAGGCTCCATGGCAGGCAGAGCCCATGAGGGGCCATGGTGACATCTGGCCTTCCCAGAGCATATACCATGCCTACAGTCCCCACCACAAAGCACCACTGTCTCCAGGGCATTAGACAAAGTCTCTTTTGTCCCCTCAAGGCTACAACAAAATGAGGGACACAGAAATAAGGTTGCCTTGGGGACAGGCAGTCTGGGTTTACAGACCTCTGGGAAGGAGTTTAAAAATTATAGGATGGTAGCCAAGGCTGTGGCCAGAGGGACCCTTCAAATTGACTGCTTTCAAGGCCTGTTCTATATGCCTGCTTTCTTGTTTTGTTTTGAGAGAAGGTTTCCCTGTGTGGCCCAGGCTAGACTAGAGCTCAGCATGAATATCGGGCCGACTTCAAACTTAGTCATCTTCATATCACTGCCTCCCACATGTTGGGATTGAAGAGGACACCAGCATGAATGGTTCCCTTGTTTTAGGTGTCAGGTTGAGTACTGTGGGTCAGCTCCTGCCCCATGTACCAGACAGGGACCTGGGCCCGCCAGACACTCCCTACAGTGGCTTATAAGGTCTATCACTCTCTGAGGGTCCTCAGCATACCCAACTGGGTCCAGGGTCCGGCACATAGGAACCATGGCTGTAGAGAGAAAACAGCATCACAGTGTCAAGTCTGGAAGCACAGGCCTGACTCAATGAGCCACTCACTGGGCAGCAGGAGGTTGAGTTCCAGGCCATAAAGCAAAACTTTCTAAAACAAAAATTAAAAAGGCCTGGGCGGAGCTCAGCAGTGGAGAGCCTACCTTTTATACAGTGAGGGGGCTCAGGAGTAGAGTCCTGCCTGGAATCTGCTACTGAAGGGAGGGGACGTGGATCTGCAGCACAGTGCCCGTCTAGTATGTCCAAAGTCCAGGATTCAATCCCTGGTACCAACAAAAATACCAAGAATTCCCATAAGATACCATAGCTTAAAGGAAAACTGCACACCTGCTGTGAAGTTGACGAATAGACAACCCTGAGGCAGGGGACTAACTGCGATGACCCGAACAGACAACCGGAAGCAACTGGAAATCAGAGTTTCCGGAATTAGAAGGGTACACGCGTGCGCAGCAAACGGACGGCGTAGAGTGCAATAGGTACAAAGTCTCTACGCATGCGTACTAGCGTTGACTGCTCGCACACGAGCACGCCCACCGCCTCCCGGGACGCGCGCGACTCTCCCTGAGCCTAAGTGGTCGGCCCCGGCAACGCCTTCTTTCCCTGTTCACCGCCCGGGCCAAGTCGCCATCCCCGCTGCCTGGTGGCGGGTCAGGAACGGCAGAAGCCGAGCCCCTGCGGCGGCTGCTCACCTGAGGGACGCCCGCGCGAACGCCATGCTTCTCCAAGTCCTAGCAACCGGGCCGCCCCGCCTACCCCGCGGGGCACGACGGGAACGTACTTCCGTGGGCGGGGCCTGATGGAAGCGGAGACTTGACTACGATTCCCGTCAGGCCGCACGCGTGCCTGGTCACTCCGCCTGTGTATCTGGGGGCCTTTTTTTCTTGTATCCTGCAGGGCCAAAGAACGGTATTTCCTGTTCAAGATCCTCGGATGGGTGACGGAAACTCGGACCCTGCTTGACATTTTGAGGCATCCACAGAGAGAGACTTGAGGCGGAAGGAGACTCTCTACATCTATAGTTAGTCAAAGAGCATCATCTGTTCTCGGACTGCAGTAAAGTTGCCATGTTGCCGCTGAACTGTCATCCGCACTGCCTGGAAGGTGACTGTGGTCCTTTTTCTCATCTGTACAGTGGATGAAGTCTGTGGACTCTTGAATAAAACTTGGGACTCAGGCTGTAGCACGGTTTGTAGAGAGTTTGCCTGGCATCCAGGAGACCTGGGATTCCATCCACAGCGCTGTTAGTGGCACATGCTGGTCATACCAGCACTCTGGAGGTTGAGACAAAGTTTTAGAAGTTCAAGGTGAACGCCGGGCTTTGGTGGCTCACGGGAGGCAGAGGCAGGCGGATCTCTGAGTTAGAGGCCAGCCTGGTCTACAAAGCGAGTGCCAGGACAGGCTCCAAAGCCACAGAGAAACCCTGTCTCGAAAACAAAACAAAACAAAACAAAAAAGAAGTTCAAGGCGGTGGTAGTGGTGGGGGCTTTAATTCCAGCACTCTGGAGGCAGAGGCAGGTAAAGTCCCTGTCTCAAACAACAACAAAAGTTTTGGGGATGTAGATGAATGACGAACACTTGCCTGCCGGCTGTGAGGCCCCGGGTTCAATCTCTGGCCATGCATAAAACAAAATATTAAAAAGTAAAGCCAACGGGGCTGAAGAGATAGCGTTTAAGAACACTGGCTGCTCTTTCAGAGGTCCCAGAGTTCAATTCCCAGCATCCACACGGTGACTCACAACCATCTGTAATGAGATCTGATGCCCTCTTCTGACATTAAAAAAAACATAAGTGAAACCAAGCATGGGGTTCGTGTCAGCTTATGAGGTATCTGCATGAACTAGCTGAGCCAGGAGGATCACACACCTTTAATCTCAGCACTCTAGATCCGGAGGCAGAGACAGGCAGATTCCAGGCCAGCCAGGACTACATAAGACCATGTCTTGAAAAAAAAAGCAACAACAAAAAGAAATAAAATTAATGACAAATAGTAGGGGCTGGAGGAGGGAGGGTTTAACATTAAGAGCAGGCAATAATTTTTAATTAATTGTTTTAAATAGAGTCTCATGGTGTAGTGTCCCTGAGACCCTCCCAGTGCCCTTCTTCCTCCGTGGCTCAGTGATGGTGAGATTTCATGGGGACCTCATGGAGTGGCCAGGACTAAATTACAGACTGCCTGGCTGAACTGTGACTGGCCAGGAAGGTAGAAACTGGCACCAGAGAACCTGGATTGGCTAACATCTGAAGGGTCAACTTATTTGCAATCTTCTTGGCCTGTCTGCCAGGACCTTTCTGGAATAAAGAGTATCTTATGACCAGCTATCAGACCAGAGTAGATCCAACAGGATTAGTTTATAGCTGATTTCAAGACAGATAACTGGGAGATTACTGTGGCTGTGACCTTTGTCAAAAAGCCAGAATTCTTGGACTTCCAGGGGGCCATGAGCCAAGGGACTCTGAAGGAAAACTAAGAGTTTTGGGTCATTACACCAGAACAAAGTCATCAGGACACCCATGTTATTTATTTTACTATTTTTTGGCTGAGCCCAGACCCTTAAAATGTTATGTCAGGCTTAGAGAGTGGCTTGGCAGTAAGGAAACCTGGCTGCTATCCCAGAGGACCCCAGTTTAACTTCCAGTACCCACATGGTGGTTCACAACCATCTATAACTTCAGCTCTAGGGAATCCAATGCCCTCTCTAGCCTCCATGGACACTAGGCTCCCATGTGGTAGACAGACAGATGGATATGCAGGCAGACACTTATTTTTTAAAAAACTATTTTATTATTTTATTCTACGTGCATTGGTGCATGTATGTCTGTGTGAGCATGTCAGATGTTGGAGTTACAGACAGTTGTGAGCTGCCATGTGGGTGCTGGGGATTGAACCCAGGTCCTCTGGAAGAGCTGTCAGTGCTCTCAACCACTGAGCCATCTCTCCAGCCCTTGCAGGCATACACTTATATGCATAAAATAAATATAAACAAGATGCCTGTAGTGGTGAACACCTTTAATCCCAGTACTCTCAGGAGGCAGACTCCGGTGGATGTCTGAGTTCAACTCCAACTTGGTCTACAGAGTAAGTTCCAGGATATCCAGAGCTACATAGAAAGACCCTGTCTCAAAATAAAAGGGAGTAGGTAGGGGTGTCCAAAGAGGAGTGGGGTCGTGGGTAGGAGTGGAACACCCCCATCTCCTGCATATATTCTCCAGTGAGGAGCTGGGGGTGTGGTTAGTGGTTGAGCCCCTCCTAGAATACCCCAGTGAAGAGCTGGGGTGTGGTCAGTGGTGGAGTCCTGCCTAGAATCTCCCAGTGAGGGGCTGGGGGCTGGGCTCTGTGATTGCTTGTTTGCTTTGTATGAAACCTTTAGTTTGATCACCAAAGTGGAGGGCATAAACTTCATGGCCTGGGTATGAAGGTAGGACTAATCCTGGGTCTAGGGAAAGAGTCTGGGGGGTTCCTCTGCCTTCTCTTCTACTGTCTCTCTCATCCATCAGCAAACTTCATGCCACCTCTACTCAGCTTGCCAGTGCTATTTTGAGAACCCCCAACTCTCCACTCTACAGGAACCATTCCTCCAGCCACTTGAAATCAGACATGATCTGGACAAATCTGGACATGAACTCCATAAACTCAGCTGTCTTCAAAGTATGGTCTCTGGCTGTGCACTGCAACACCCGAGCTTTGGATCCTGCTTTATAAATCATTAAAAGAAGCCTGGGGTAAGAGGTGAGACTCTGTCTCAAAACTCAATGACAGGGGCCAGGGCTGTCAGCCAGCCCACTCACTAGAGGACTCATTTGGCATGCAGAAAGCCATAGATTTCATCCCAGCACTGCGTAAACCAGGCATGGCACACCTGTTACCCCAGAATATGGGAGGTAGAGGCAGGAAGCAAGGAGCAGGAAGTCTAGATCATCCTTGGCTACAAAGCTAGTTTGAGGCCAGCCTGAACTGCATGAGACAGGCTGTCTCATGTCTCAAGAAGAAAAAAAAAAAAGAAAAAATTAGAAAGAACAAAAGATACTCTGGGGTGTCATTCCTTAAACTTCAGAAAAAAAAAATCTCTCCAATTTGATTGTTCTCCATTCAGCTTAATAGCCATGGGGCCATCTGAGCAGGCAACTACTGTATGTCCAAGACAGTCTCAGTTCACAAAACTGACTAGACCCCAAGTCCTCTTCCATGTCAGCATCCTTGTGAATAGTATTTCATTAATTCTAGGTTTTCCCTTTTTTTAAAAAAAATAAGATTTGATTTGATTTGATGTGTATCAGTGTGTTTCTGCATGCATGTGTGCACCAAGTGTGTGCAGTGCTTCCCAAGGCCGATGGGCGATGGATCCTCAGAGCTGTAGTTATAGGTGCTTGTGAGTTGTGAGCTCTGAAAACTGAACCCAGGTCCTCTGAAAGTAATCAGTGTCCTTATCCACTGAGCCGTCTCTCTAGTCTTTCCTTTCTTTCTTCTTTTTTTGTTTGTGTTTTGAGACATGGTCTCATTTGGGTTAAGTTAGCACAGAACCCTGGATGGTAACCCTGTCTCATGATTCATGATTTCAACTGGAATGAATTGTCCTACATAGCTTCCTTTCAAATTTACAATAACAGACTGTTTTTTTCTTATTTTTAATTTTGGAGACAGGGTTTCTCTGTGTAACCCTGTTTGCCTAGAACTCACTCTGCAGTCCAGGCTGGCATCAAACTGAAAGATAAGCCTGCCTCTGCCCATCCTATCCTCCTCTGAGATTATAAGTCTGCACCACCACCACCCAGCTAAATAGTGGGCTTTTATTTACTTTGTGTTGGTGTATGTGCATGCCGTAGTGTGGGTATGCAAATCAGAGGACAGCTAACAGGATCTGGATCTCTTTCCACTCTGTGAGTCCTGGGGATTGAACTCAGATCTTCAGGCTTGGCAGCATGCACCTTCACCTGCTGCATCATCTCACCAGTCCCTGTGTATTTTAATTTTTGATATACCTCTGAGTAGTACTGGCTGGCCTTGAACTCCTGGTGGTCCTTTCTCCACTCTGCCTTTCTCCACTCTCAGGGCTGATATTACAGGTGTGTGTTCAGCGACAACAGATGGTTTTCCTTTTACAAAAATGTGCTGGGGTTAAGAAAAGCATTGTATAGAGAGAGGGCAGACTTGTACTTTAGTGGGGAGCTGACTTTAGTCCCGTCCCTGGCCATTCTCCCACCCCCAGCCCCTGGGCTACCTTCACTCCCTATGGATTTATTCCAGGAAGAACTTGGCTTTCTGGCTTAGCCAGCCCTAGCTCCTCCCAGCCCTGAGTTGGAATGGCCTGGAGGCAGCTTGAAGGAAGGACATTCCTGACATGGTGCTTAAAGAAATCAGGATCCAAGCTGGGTGGTGCACATCTCTAACCCCAGCACTCGGGAGGCAGAGGCAGGCAGATCTCTGTGAGTTCGAGGCCAGCCTGGGCTATAGAGTGAGTTCCAGGACAGCCATGGCTACACAGAAAAACCCCTGTCTCTAAAAAATAATAATTCCTTCAGATTTTGTTTTGTTTTTCTGGAGATCTGCCTGCCTCTGCCTCTTGAGTGCTGAGATTAAAGGTGTGCACCACCACCTCCTGGTTTCACTTAAAAAAAATCATTTGTTTTATATGTGTATGCATGCCACAGTGGCAACTTTTCCTCTTCTTTGTGGGTTTCAGGGCTTGAACTCGGGTCCCCAGGTTTGTCAGGAAGGGCCTTTACCACTGAGCCATCTTGCCAGCCCATGTACTATATATGTTTTCATAGTGTTAAATATAAAGCTGGGTGTGGAGCTAAGTGCCTGGGATCCTAGCATACAATAGGCAACAATTTCTAGGCCAACCTTGAATACAGAGGGAGACGTTGTCTCTAGAACTGAGCAAGTCATGTGTGAAGGTACATCCTTTTAATCCCAGCACTGGAAAGGCAGAAGCAAGCAGCCTCTGTGAGTTGGAGGCCAGCCTGGTCTACATGGTGAGTCACTGTCTCAAATAAATAAGTACATGAATGAATAAAACTGACTGGAGATGTAGTTCAATTGTTAGAGTCCTTGCATAGTATAAAGCCCTGGGTTACAGTTCTCAGAAACATGACTTGGTGACACAATCCTGTTGTTAAGAGCAAGCCAGTTTGAGCTGTATGCCACTCTTGTCACAAAAGAGATTGGGGGTCAGGAGTGGGGAAGGAATGAGGGTGCAGAGTGTAGGAAGTAGTAAAACTGGGTGTGGTGGTATACAACCTTTCTCCCAGTAGAACTGTGGTGGCGGTCATGAGTTCAATACCACTCTGGGCCACCTGAGATCATGTTCCCTCTCCTCCCTGAAAGGGAGCTTCACTCAACTGGTCATATAGTCATGTGTGTCAGCCTAGTGTTCAGCTGGTTTGCTCAGGAGTATTGCTGAGAGTTTGAGGGCCCAGCCTGAGCTACATAATGAGTTCTAGAATTGCCTGCCCTACAGATTAAGATGCTGTCTCAAAAAAAAAAAAAAAAAACAAGAGGAGGCTAGAGGGCTGTCTCAGTGGCTAAGGACATTTACTGCTCCTGTGGAGGGTCCAGGTTCACTTCCAGATCCCACATAGCTCATACCGTCCCACCTACCCATAACTGTACCTGGCTTAGTTTCCAGTTTAGGCCCCGCCCCTAGGCAGACCTGCTCCACTCTCGTAGCGTCACACCCTACCAAGCCCACGCCCCCAGACCGGTCAGTTCCGCCCACATTTCAGGCCGGACCCCATGGACCAAGCCCCTCCCCTAGACCCTCCACCACGTCTACTATGGCCCCGCCCACTCGATTAGGCCCCACCTTCTACATCAGGTCTCTCCCCCAGCACATTCGGCTCCTCCGGCCCGTGGACCCGCCCCCAGCAATGCACCGCCCACAATTATCCACCCAATCCGCTTTGCTGTCGCTTTGCCCCGCCTCCCACTAACAGCTGGGGGCTCCTCGCTTGCGCATTCCCCTCGCATCACTTCCGGGGCGGA